AATCTATTTCAGGCTATCTATATGATACTCGAAAATAGCTAAAAATAAACACCGAAAAATAGAAGCCTACAATATACCTACATTTTTGCAAACGATAACTTTAATTTACACAACTATACTCCAAGCACACTTTCATTAGCAGGAAATACGTCGTCTCTATGTGCTTATCTTTGGAAAATCAAAGAAATAACCAGGTTATATGTGGTGTGGCCAAGCAGAAAGCATGAAAGATCTTTTTTTCCAAATTATATTTGCCAGCTAAAGTTGAAACGGAAGTCTCGTTTTAGGAAATCATTGTTAAAACCTCTCCATTTATTAATCGTCATTATAAATCTTTTAAGTTAAAACTTTTTTCTATACTCAATGAATATACGATCACTAATTCCATCTTGACATGCCAAATCGAATTAAACTCGTATGGGCGGTTGAGTTCCTTTACAGTTCTTTAGATGTTATAACGTTAATAGGTTTTATAATTTATGATACCACATGTATTGTCAGTGACTCTTGTGTCACTACGTGAAACTTGTGATACCACGAGTATTGTAGGTGGCGCTATAAACAACACTTTCTGAAATTACTTTTTCGTTTCGAGATATCATTTTATTAATAATCCTACATTTCTTTCTGCTGTTAGGAATAAACAAGTATTTATTAAAACATTTATCATATACCCTCACCATTAATTTTAATTATCAATATCTTCAACATAAATGAATTAGCTTTTAATTATTTCCTAATCATACAAACATGGTTTCCGGGACCAATCATCTCCATTCAAACATTTCCAGATACAAAACGTCTTCATGAACAAGTATATTTACATAGATCCTTTCTTGAAAACTACTGCCAAGGTGTGTTCTTCCATGTCTATAACCAGTACATCATGTTACAAAACTACTACCAAGGTGTGTTCTTCCATGTCTATAACCAGTACATCATGTTACAAAACTACTACCAAGGTGTGTTCTTCCATGTCTATAACCAGTACATCATGTTACAAAACAACCACCAAGGTGTGTTCTTCCATGTTTATAACCAGTACATCATGTTACAAAACTACTAGTCTCAGCTAATCCACGTTTATATAGAATATATTATCATTACTTACCAGTCATAGTAACTGTGACTGTACGTAATGATAATATATTCTATATAAACGTGGACTGTACGTGCGATGTCATTTAGCATCTGACATAATACAGCCCTAACGATTCAACAAAATTATAATCAGAGATTCATTCATCTTCTCAGTCTCAGCTAATCCACGTTTCGAGAGTAAAAACGTAACTCGTCTTTTTCCACTTCTCTTCTATCAGGTGTTTCAGAATGATTTTTCGGGATTTTCTTTTTACGTTAATGTTAGCTACTTTAACTATCTGTCGTGTTTCCAAAAGTTCTTAGCTTCTTTTAGATCTCCAGGTGGAATAGTTTTGATATGTAAATAATTCTATGGTGTCTCCATTCGTTTTTACTCTAAAGTTGGCTCCAGACACATCTTATCTGAAGTTAATGACTCTTAAGGAGCTCATTGTCGTTAGAACTGGTTATTTCAGGTTGGCAGCTTGTTGTTCCTTACTTATATCATTCACCTGACAGAATAATACCACCAACCTAACTGTACGCTTTACGTATTACGTAGTCTGTTTGTTGTAAAGCAAAAAGATACACAATGGGTTATCTGTATTTTGCCCACAGCGGGTATCGAAACCCTATTTTTAGCGTTTTAAGCCTATTGAACCACCGATAAGCTACCAGGGGGCATTATTTTGTTACTAGAAGATATTGATTTTTTCTATATACCAAGAAGAAACTGGCCTTACAAATTATGTGACGTCAGCGTGCATCGTTCATTTACAGAAACTGGCCTCACAAATTATGTGACGTCGGCGTACATCGTTCATTTACAGAAACTGGCCTTACAAATTATGTGACGTCAGCGTGCATCGTTCATTTACAGAAACTGGCCTCACAAATTATGTGACGTCGGCGTACATCGTTCATTTACAGAAACTGGCCTTACAAATTATGTGACGTCGGCGTACATCGTTTCATTTACAGAAACTGGCCTTACAAATTATGTGACGTCGGCGTACATTGTTTATTTACAGAGAGCATGGCTACGACAAGTGGATCTTGTAGGTGTTTATTTTTCAATAAAAGCAGCGTTTATAAATTTTGTAATAGCACTGAATCCAAACTCATAATATTTCCATGGCCTT